CCTGAAGAACGATTTCCGATTCAAAATCGCAATGTCAAATGATTTTAAATGTAAGACCGGAGGCTAAAAGTATGGTTACACGTCTTTACTGAGTCCTCTTCTTTTCTAGATTCTAATCTAAAGCGTGATAGGCAGTGAAGGAAGGATGCACCTAGATGCTTCCTATTTTGCAGCTTTTTAAGAAGGTGTGATGCACTCAGGTAGCCTGGGCTTTGCAGACGAGGATTGTGGAGAGCTGGTTTGCCTCTTTTTGGGCCCTCATAAACAGGAGGAGCTCTGAAACTGTTGTCCTAAAGTGTAGTTCTTGGTCCTTATTGTTATAGGATGGGCGTATAGACCAGGCCAGTACTTGTTGGTTATGGTTTAAGGCATGCCTAGGCAGAAGGATGTCACTAGGTACTGTACAAAAAGAAGCAGTATGTCAGAGTCTGCTCAGAAATCCTGTAGTCTAGGCAGAGACAAAGGTTGAGGAAAAAAAGGTTCTTCACTGACTGTCGTAAGGTGGCCTGACTCCTTGTTAGAAAACCTCTGTTTCTTAACATTTAAAAAGACAGTGACCTAATGAAAATCTCAGGGGTTGCTCCTCCATCTTAGTACATCTCTTTTGCTGGAGACTACCTGCTAAGCTGCACAGGTCTGCACCAGCCTCATATTCCTGTGCCAAGCACCCAAGTGCTGCCATGCTTCAAGTTCTTAGAGTGTTTGCTTCACTCCGACTGCACTTCTACTGCTCCAAGCCAGTTGTTTAGTTCTGGTACCACCCCTTTCCACCAGAATAGAGTCCCTCTCTCCCAGTGGAGAAAGACTCCTCTTGAAAATGGATGCTTATATGCAATTTTGCAGATTTTTAACAGCATAAGCTGTTCTTTTCCAACTGGGACAGCTTTATTAGTCAGTGAGAACCGAGTTATTTCAGTGTCCTGTGGCTGGAATGTAAAAGCAAAACTTGCATGTATCCCAGCAGTGTCACCTGTTGCATTGGTCCACTCAGGGTTTCACTTGGCAGAAACCTGCAGGGTTTCATTTGTGTTCTTTTTGCAGTGTGCTGAAAACTTCATTTTGTATTTCCAGTTGTGCTATATTCAGTGTGATTTGCATCCCTTGACCAACAGTAATTTGTCTGCTCCTTGATTTTCTCCCAACACTGTTGAAATCTATGTGTATGATGATGATGATGATTTTGTATTGTGAATATAAATCTAGACAAGTCAGTGTGACCTGTCTCTCCCATGTCCAAAGGGAAGAATTGACCCTTGCAGTCAGTCACAGCACAGCACTGAGTCATACATACTTTTCATGAAAATAATGCAGAAATTCCCCATAGTTTTTACAGATATTTTTTCAGGAGATGAAGTGTAAGTCTTCTTTGGCAACACAACTTGGGAAAACTAAGAAGCTTGTAACACCAGATCATTAATTTTTCTGACGTATGATACACTTTTCACTATTAATGTCTGTTTATTTTTTTTTCTCTTCATGTGTTTCATTCAAACTCAGCTGATCTGTTTGGGTTCCACTTGACCTCCTGTGCTCACCGGTCTTATCCCCACCCTTGACTGTTCTCCACTTCCACTGTAAATCGTCCGGGAGGGAGCTGAGTCTTATCCCACCTCTGTGACTCTACAGTGACCAGTGCAATAGGGTCTTTTCTGCACCATTCCTAATACCACTTTCTACTTTTCCTGCGTAACACAGAATATACTCTGTTTGAATATTTAACACCACGTAGAAAACAAGGAAAAAAAAAATCAAAAGTTCCTTCAAAATGGGAACTGAAGTTTAGAATGAGATTTACTGTAGTGAAGAAAACGGTGGTAAAGGAAAACAACAACCAAACATCCAGAAGTAGTTGCAGGGAAGCTGTTTTCCACAGGGATATGACTGTCCTAGGGAAATACAGTTTCCTTGCTTTCCAGTATTTGATTGTTTGTTCTTTTTATTTTAATTCCATTCAGAATTAAATTCAAGACAAAGCCTCAGTGGTGCAGTACTTGAGTACTGGCTTTCCCAGTGAATAGTTAGGAGGTGAGTTCTTGATTGTGCTCACTGTAGTGGAGCTAAAGCAAGCTTTCCTGAAGTACAGTGGTGACTAAATGCTTATCCTAGATTGTTATCTTTCTCTAAGGCAAAAGGTGTGTATTTGTGATCCTTAAAATAAATGTGATGAAACAGTTAAGAGTACATAATTGTGTGAAGAATGAATTTGACACATTAACTTGGCAGCTTCTCTGGTCGTTAAACACATTGGGTTCTCAAAACCCCTTTTCTCCTACTTAAAAAATCTGAAATGTAATCTTACACCCTACTTGATGGTGTCACTGAAAGCCAAATATTTATCACTCAAAGATTTATAGTTACTTTCAGTCTTAGAAGGTGGAAAGTGCGGTCATCTCTGGCCAGATGTTGTATCTGGGTTTCTGACATGTCTTTTTCTTTTTTTTAATAAGTGTGCTTTGTGAGGTTTATATTCTAATGAATGGAGTAATTTTTGGCATAAAGAAACCTGTGCAGCAGTGACAGTTTGTTATCACACAGCTGTGCTCTTCCTTTCTCCTTGGAGTTTGTGAGCATCCCTGGCTTAATGTAGGGGAATCTGACTTAGCTCTGCGGAAGCTGAAGCGTTTGAGGAAAGAGCTGTTAATCTTTGATCAGCTGGAGTCTCCTTGTTACTGATTTTGATTACACAAGTGTATGACTTTAATTACAGCTTTTAATAAGGTTCATTTCTTCCTAGCCATATTCTTTGTATAGTAGTGCAGCTTATCTTTTCTTCTTTCCCCTGCCCCCCTTCCTTCCTCTGCTGTCTTTAATGGAAAAATGCGGTTGAGGTCATTGTGGGTGATTCTGCATCCAGAGGTGTGGTGAAGTTGCAAGAACTGTGGCCCTGTGACGAAAGCTGAGGGCCACAGTTCTTGTAACCTCACCACACAGAGGCATCCCTCTGCACTGCCACCTCCCACAGCTCAGTCCTCTTGTGCAGCTCAGAGCTCTCTTTTCCAGACCCTCTACACCAGTCGCTGCCTGGGACTGGTGCTCACTGGTCAGGGACAGGGCTGCAAGATGCTAAATTCAAACAGGCACGTGCTGTATGGAACAGCTTAACAACCTTTGGAAAATCTATGTAGCCAAAAGGTGCACTGGCTCCCAGGTGTAATTCTTGCCTGTTGGGGACTGTCTTATTTTCTCCCTTCTGGATGTTCTGAAATGCAGCAGCTGAAATCATTGCATCATGAATGAACATAGCAGACATCACCAGTCCGTGGTGCTCATTCCACACCTAGAGCTTTGGCATGCTGGTCTGCCTGCATCTGTTACAGAAGTAACCTGGTGGCAGCTTTGTGGAGGACTTTTGGACTTGTAATTGTGAATAATTGAGATGTGGCTTAAAACACAAGAAAATGCTCTTTTTCCCCATAAGTAATATTTTGTCTTTGGAACTCATTGCCCCACCATGGTTTAGGTGTGAAAAATAAAGATGGGGTGAAGTCAGTTGAATACATTCACAGAAGAAAGATTCATCAAATCTCTTAACTTTATCCACGATTGGGTGACTTGACACTTGAGAACTGGTTATCAGAAATGAGAAGGAGGAGCCAGAGATTCCTGCCTCTGTTTTTTTGTTCTTCAGTAAGTCTCTGATATCAGCCCCTATCAACAAAAAGATAGTGTACCGATACGGCCCATGGAGAAAGAGTATTGCTCCCATGAACGTTATGATGTGGAAATGACAAGTGACATAAAAAATGTGTATCAGACTGTCAAACACAGCAAAATAGTGATTTGCACCAGTTTGGCATTTAGAGGCGTGCAAAAGGAGTACACTTTTAAAATGGCAGTTGTGCCTATGGAAGGGGGGGTAGTGGATAAACAGAACAGCAAAGGGAGCCTCTTTTATCTTTGTGTGTGCATCCCTCCAGCTCCCTTGCTGTGTGTTATACTCTTTTTGCACACTAATGAATATTGGAGTCAGTACAAGTTAAGCTGTATCTCATTCTGCTCCTTTTTTTCTAATGAACTTACCCCTGATGGGTAGCTTTCCTAGCTATTCATGTCACGACTGAATTTCACCTTGACAATAGATCAAGAATGAGGTGCAGCAGCATGGCCCACCTACTTGCTCCAGCATGACAGCTGCTTTGTGTCCTTAGGGTAGCTCTACTTTGATGCTTTTCCCTGTTTAGAACAATTTGGAGGGAGGATTTTGGTAATCTCCAGCAGGCAGAGTTTTTAAACCTTTCTCAAGGGAATTTGAAGATCCTACAGAATTTTTGAACCAATATTTATGAAACAAGTGACATTGTCTTTAGCTTGGTTCTTCCCACTGGGCTCCAGAACAAAGGATTTGCCATGCGGGATCTTACCAGCTGCTGTTGTAGCCTGCTGCTGTTGGTGCCTTAAACCCAATTGTGGAAAATTCTGGAATGGTGGAGAGGAAACATCTAGTGTAAGCGTTGCAGACATGGCTCTAGCTGTTAAAGGGTGTGTTTTCATGCTTCAGAAACAACAATAAGAAGACTGTGTCTTCTGCTCTTTTAGGTTCTTTGAACTAAGAAATGCTGGATTTAAGTTCTTCTAAACCTGTCTGGCTTTTTGGTTGTTCACAGTACTGTAGGAGTTGCTATAGCACAAAATGGACACGTTTGGTGTACTGACTTTGCTGGACTACAAACTACAGGGGAAGAAAGACAATAGAATGAGGTCACTGCTGTGTACGTGGTGCATGGCGCTGGGTCGGGGGCCAGTGTGGTTGCAGCATTTGTTCATCCAGTAGCTGTGCCTGCTGAAAAGATCTGTGCCTGTTTTCTAAGAGTATCGTCCTTTGATGACAGTTTCTGCATGATCTGCTTTGGTAGCGTATGGTGTCAGCCAGCTTTTCACATGTTCAGGGGAAGTTTTTGTGGTTGTCAGTTTGAATAAACCAACCGTATGCCCCCTTTTCCCTAGTCTTGTTTGAGGGGAAGAGCAACCTTTTCTAATCTCCGCCCTGTCTCTTTTGGCAGACTTGGGGACCAGTTCTACAAAGAAGCAATTGAGCACTGTCGCAGCTACAACTCCCGGCTGTGTGCTGAACGGAGTGTTCGCCTTCCCTTCCTGGACTCACAGACTGGAGTTGCTCAGAACAACTGCTACATCTGGATGGAGAAGCGGCACAGGGGACCAGGTTGGTAGCAGTGTGTGTGCATGCGCATGTCTGGAGGTCTGGCCACTGAGCCCCCATGGGATTTAATTAATAGAAACTCAAACCTGCTACAGGCCACGCAGAAGAGAAGCTGCCTAAACCTCTGTGCCTGCGGGGGATTTCCTTTGGTAACTGCAGAGAGCTGATCCTAATTATTCTCTCTTACCCGAAGAAGTGCCTGACATGGTAGTTTCTAAGACTGTATCACTGTAGCTCTTCTAATGCTATTGATCCCAGTCTGTAGAAGGCACAATGCCCTGTTCTAAGCAGGATTGAAATTATGTTCAGGGTGGAGAAGCGGAGGTGGAAGTCTCAGGTGAATGCTGAAAATAAAGGGTTGCATTAGGAAGTACATATAGTGGAGGTGAAATACAGGAGAGTCCAGCAACTGGAATGGACTTTGTTCTGATGATTAGAAATGTAGGTAAACTTCTAGTTCTATTTTGGACAAGTTTGGATATCAGCTCTGGAGTCTCAGTTTTCTCAGCTGCAGAAAAAAAATAATATACATCCTCAAAGACCTTTGGCTAAGTTTCTTTCCAATGGGGGAAAGGCCACCATTAGTTTAGCAGGCTTTGGTCAGTCTTTCCTTTGTTAGAATAAATCCATCTGAAATCCTTGTTTTGAAAGCAGAGGACAATCACCGGTTCAAAGGCTTGATGTTACTTCAACAGAAATCCTGAAACCCAGTGAAAATTTTGCTGGAGTATGGCTGAGTATCTGATCCACAGTTAGCACAGGCATGAATTTTCTGACAATACAGGAGTGGATTTGTGTTTTTTCTTCCCCCCTCCTCCCCAGTGCATACTGGAGATCCAGGTAGGAAGGGGTCAAGTGTACACAGGCACTGATCATGTGCACATATCCTTGTCAATTCCTGTAAACCATACTGGAAAAAAAAAAAGAAAACAAAAAATCCAACCTGGAACTGTGGATAGATGCAGGCTGCTGTTACCTCCTCCACTGGCTAACTCGCTGCAGCTGTAGCAGGAGGAACACAAAGGACACTTGCCTCCCCTCCTGTGAGCAGACTAGGAAAGCAACTCATGCCTCTGAAGGGTGCTTATCTGAAATGCTTCCTAGGATAGGAAGGGACATATCTAGGATAGAGGGACAGATCTTTGCGCTGCTCCTGTTCCTAAAATACTCAAAGTAGGTGTTCTATGGTCTTGCAGTACCACCAGAAAGATGTAGCAAAATGCAGCCACTTCTGTTGCAGGAGACAGCAGGTGTTTTACCAGCGTTAAATATATCCTAAGAATATCTCAGCTGCCAAAACTACTTCAGTAATCTGAGACTGCTAAATGTGGTTTATGACCACATTAAATTTTTTTTTTTAAATCTAAAATCTCCTAATTCCTAAGAGTTTTTTTTTTTTCAAAAGTTTGTTTTTTTTTTTTTTTTTTTTTTTTTTTCTCCTTTTTTATTTTTTCTTTTTGGTTAATCACTTTGGCTCTGCAATTTTTGTTCTTGTAACATCAGGTTATGAGTAAGGTGCTGCTTTTTAAGCCTTGTGAGCTCAGTAATAAACACGTATACATCCACTATATACACAAATGATGTTTTGGCAAGAGCGCTTGCTACAAAGATAAGCAAACATAGTATTGTGTAGGTCTCATTGGTGTCTCTGCACTTAGAGAGGAAATCATCCTAGAAGAGTTACAGCATCACACCAGGAGCCAAGAGCTCTGTCACTAGTTCTCTGGACAACGTTTGGCAAATGCAGTGTGCAAATCTTTTTGCTCACTTCTGATACTGAACTTTTCTGTGGCTTCCCCTGCAAAAGAGTCAGTGGCTCCAGTGGGAACTAATGGTAGAACATTCCTCATAGAGAGTCTTAAGTGAATCAGGCTTTCTGCATTTGTTGCAGCCACCAAATCTGATGCTTTTGTTATTTTAATTTAGAATAATCAGTGCAAAATGAAGCAGTCCTCCTCCCCCATATTTGCTTTCCTCTTTCTTGATTTTTATTAGCCCTTTTAGTGCTCCCTTGGGTCTCTTTGCATCATCTATTTCTTGTAGTATCGTTATGGTGGGTCAAAGCATCCTTGTTTAGTTTTAGCGTCCCTGTTTTCAGGCTATAGACATTGTACTTATGCTCATACTGAACATCTCCAAGAATTCTTTGTCAGCCACCGTAGTATCCATCTTGTGTGCTATGTTCATTGCCATTTACTATCCATAACATGAAAAACTGCATAAAGACAAATGGCAAAGCTCCAGGAACTATTTTCTTTTACAGAGAGTTTGAAAAACAGAGGAGAGTTGGGATCTCAGTCTATTAACCTGGTTTCTCACCATCCTCTTTGTTAAAGGAGTCAGAAAACTGCATTTCATGATAAACAGTTCAGGGTTAATTTCACACAATACTGCACATAACTCCCTCCCTCTTCTCTCCTCCTCCCCCAGCCTTTCACAAGAGCTTTGAGTTATGGCTCTCCTACACTAATGAGATAAACAACATAACTCACTGCAGGTTCTGCTATTTCCTCTATAAGCAAATGGTTGGAACCTTCTCTGGTTGCCCTATAAGGCCCCAGAGGGAGAGACAGCTCAGCTAGGACTGAAGACAAGACAGTAAGACATGCATAAGTGTTATTTCTATATGCCCTGCCAGATCAACTGTGCAGGGGCTAGATTCTGTTCAGAACAGACCCTTTTTTTTATTGCTTCTCCTCTGTGTAAACAGTCGATGGTCCACGCTTCACGTGAGGCAGTATGGAGACATATAGGTGTCAGGGCAGAGGACTGAAGATAGTATCTAATGAGTTTGAATCAAGATGAGGCTTGATATCTGTCTTATTTTACTGGATGGCTGTGTGTTAATGAGCAAGGATATTGCAAATAGGAATAGAGAGACCTGAACATCTCCAGAAATTCTCTGCCAGCCTTCTTGGTATCTGTCTTGTGTGCTGGCTTCCCTCTCATTTAGTATCCCTGACCTGAAATACTGTCTAAAGGCAAATGGGGAAAAAAAGCTCCACAACCATGGATTTTGGTGTTGGAAGAACTTAGGAGCCTATCTGCCACCTGGAGTGGGCTGCATTTCCCCAAGGGAGGAGAATTCTCCACTTTCATCTATTCAAGGATACCTGCTGTGTTTCTCATTGGCATTTCAGCATTTGCAGTTGGCATTCAGTGTCTTGGCTGAATCCAGAATTGCAATTCATATGTGAGTTCACAATACTTGAACCCATGTTAATGGATATTATCTCAAAACTGCAGTGGATCCTTGCTTTTCTCTGTCTGGGAGAAATGTTCAAAGCAATGGTGCCCACTTCATTCAAATCTCTCCTCTCTGGAGGTCTGTGCAATGGAAGGCTGATTCTCTGTCCTGTTTCCTTAGCCTAACAACCCTGCTTTTCAATGCTGTGAGCAAATTTTTGAACAAAACCTACTGTGAAAGGGTGAGGCATCTTGCCTCCACCTCTTTAATGACTCACATCAGAGCAGGCACAATCCACAATCCACCCCACCATAATAGCAATTGTTTGCAGTGGTTAATGTTTGCAAAATGCCATGTAGAAACGTGTCAAGCACTGCAGAAGTACTGGTTATTCACATTTTATCCTTAAAACAGTCACATGTGCTGCTCACCAAAACGCATCCTTCTTGTGTTGGGCATAATGCCTAGGAATCTGTGCAGTGACAAAAGAGGATGTGCAAAGCCCTGGGCCTGCACTGTGACCTCGGGCAGCCCGGACCTCTGCGAACATTCCATCATTTGGCCAAACCCAGGCAGTATGATGTAGATGCTCCATTTATGCACCAAGGCTAGGAAGCAGGTGGAAATCATAGAAGTCTGAACTGGCACCTCCAACAGCTCAACTATTTCAAGCCAAAAGCTTGCAGAACGTGATTAGCCCATACCCCTAGGGTGAATAAATTTGGTGTATGCGTGTCTCTTATTTTTTTTTTTTTTTTTTTCCTAGTGACAGTATATTGTCTTTTTTCTTGTGTTATCTGCATCTGACTCAATGAATCAGCTTTGTTCCAGAGCTGATATGCTCTCTGGGCTGTCTCAGAGGGAATGGCAGAGAGCAAGCCATCCTGCTGTTCTTGAACTGATTTGCTTTACTCGTGCTGCCTTAATGATGTCCAGCTGTTTACTGCTGGTACTGTTTCAGATATGGTAACATTAGTAATGTCCTCTCTCTTACGTGGACTTACTTGTTTTCTGAGGGCAGTGGGGTTGGAACTTCAGTTGTGCACAGTAGCCCCTTCAGGAATAACAGCAGAAGGCAGAAGAGTAAAAGCAGAAGTGGCAGACAGAGAGGTCGATGGAAGCAGGGGCGAGAACAACATTCTTCCAGCATTTCTGGATCTTGTTGGGTATCAAGAGTAACTGGGGCAGTAACTTGTCAGTGTGCTTCTGTGTTCTTAGTAGCAGTGCATTCACAGGGCCCTGCTGTGTCCTGAATACAGGAGAACAAAGCATAGCTTGAGCGTTGGCTAAGGGATGCCTATCATGAGAGCCAGGGCAGCTCAGAGGCCAGCAACACCAAATGTGAATCAATGGAGCATGCAGTAATATAAACATTACTGCTGTATTTCCTCCTTAATTCAGGATGTGGGCATGAGGAAGGTAATATCCAGAATAAAGGATCTCTTTTTAATCAAAAGTCCAGAATTCAAGCAAAAATATAAAGTCCCAATAGCCAGACCTCATGGATTTTTTGTTTGCTTTCACTCAGAAGACATTTTCTGAGCTGGTCTGCATACCAGGGCCTTACGATTTGTGTGTCGGAACTTCATCTCTTCTCTCCCAAGGCACTTTCTCTGCCCGTGGAGGAGACATCTCCCTGTGACCCAAGAGAGGCTGAAATTCTATTTACCCTGAAGGAATCACAAATTATTTATGTGCAGCTCTGGTTTCAGTGAGCTGAGTGAAGTGTATGAGTGAGACCCAGATTCTCTGTAGGCCTGATCCCTAGAGGTGCCAAGGAGCCTCCGGAGTGCTGGATACCTTGAGTGCATAGTTCTGCATCACAGTTTGCACGATTGAGTCCTCTAACAAGAGACACCGAAAGGACAAGGGAAAAGATGCTAGAGACAGTGCTTTGTGGTTTACAGACTGAAATATGATTGTTTTATTTCTTGCCTTTAATTTTCAGGCCTGGCCCCAGGTCAGCTGTACACATACCCGGCACGTTGCTGGCGCAAAAAGAGGCGTTTGCATCCTCCTGAGGATTCCAGGCTGAAGCTGCTGGAAATTAAACCTGGTACGTATTTGTTTGCCTCTCTCTCTCTCCTGTGCTGCAGAGCAGCTGGCATACACGCAAACCTGGCATTTAGACCTTGGACTCCATCTTTGTCCCTCTCCATCCATTTCTCTTTGTGTTTATTGCACCTTAACTCAGTTTGCTGTAACAGTAACCACTAAACTCTGTACTTAACTCATGCCTAGCAGAAATGTGGATGGCTTGTGCTAAATGAAATGAGAGCTGAATTTACCTTCTGTAGGAGTGAATCCTGGGCATCCACAAATAAATGTATAAGGATGTGAATGATCAGGTTTTTTGCTGTTTACTGCCTCAGTGTGTTATTAATACATAATCTTCCTCTGGCATCTGCCAACTAGTTTTTGTGGAGACCACTGTGTGTGAAGAATGTTACACTGAAAAGATTTATCATAAAGGGACCAGGGGTGTGACCTGAAATCTATTTCCTGAAACAGGAAATAAGAATTAGCAAAGATTATTATGTGGTGAAAATTATGCCACATTTGTATATGTGTGTATACCTATGTGTGTACCTTAGTCTATTCTTCTTTCACTGTTATTGTCCTTGGTATTCTTCCCACACAATTAAGCTGTATGAAGTGATGAATCTGGATGCTGAGCGAGTGACTGTAAAGCAGATGTGGAGGAACTGCAGCTGTCAGGAAGAAAGTAGTGTTGTGCATTCTTCCCTGCAGTTAGTAATAAAGGTTTGCTGTCTTTGGGTCAGCTGTTACGAGAAAGAGGGAGAGCACAGCTGTATGTGGTTTTTAAGAGGTGAGACACTACCAGTTTAAAAAATAGAGGAAATCTCTAAAACGTAAATTAAGAATGTTTAAAAATAAACCTGTTTGACAGAAAAAAGGCGTCTGGGAACTGAGCTGTACACAGCAATATTGATAACTTTGCTTCTGTGCAGTGGTGAATGAAAAGGAAGAAAGAAGCAGTAAATGGACAAGTTGTAAACCCAGTAAAATCAGAGGCAAAATTCTTGTTGACGTTGGTAGAAACAGGTGTTTGAAGACTTCAGGCTGGCAGATGTGAGCAGGCAGTTGGACAAAACGAAGAAATGTCTGCTCTGTTGGGGTGCAGACTAAGGATGAAAGCTCAGCCAGTAGATAGAACCAGACCTCATAGCAAAGCCAGCCAAAAAGAACTATTGAAATCAAGTCAGGTTACTCAGATATTAGTGAAACTGAACTTGAGGAAGAGGATGATGTTGACCCACAGAAATCTCTACTTCACTCTTTTTTGATGTTGCAAATGCTGTTGTGCCTTGGTAATTTAGTAAGGCAAAGCAGTAGTGTGGAGTTAGATTCTTCTTTGTTTGCATTATGCTTCTGTGCTGTACTCACTGAATGCCAAATTAGTGCATCCTACTTGCCACAGGGCATGAAAGGCAATTACCACAAAGTTATCAGATAAAGAGACCTCAGCATGTCTGCTTCTGTGTTGTTTTCCCTGCTATAAACATTTCTTCTGCATCTCAAGAGTGCTACTGTTGTTGCATTGCCAGTGGCAGCCAAATAAGGCAAGTTATATTGCTCTGCCATTTAAATCTATTTTCCAACCAATTTCTATCTAGTGATTAACTTTCTTTATCAGTTACACCATGAAATAATTTCAATCCATCTGTGCATATCTGGAGTAGTCTTACTAGGCAAAATAGGATTTTTCCTTTCTTGAATTTGAAAGTATATGATCTACAGAAAACATTGGAACTTCATTTAAAGGTAACTTTTGACAATTTTAGAAGAAAAGGTTTAATTTATTTGCAACATGAATTGTAGAAATGCTGTACGTTTTTGAAGGGGATCACTGAGATAAAGTCTAGCACTGAACCTAGGAATCTATCTCCTGCTGACCTCTTTATTCCTCAGTTAAACATTTGGTGACCGTGTGGGGTGCAGATATGGTGATGGTGATTTATAATCCCTTAGAAGCACAGTGATGATGTAGGGCATATAAAATAAATCTGGACGGAATCTCATCTAAATATTTCAGTTTCACTGTACCTTGGTCTTGGATATCCTCATCTTGACTTACAGCTGTTCTCAGTAGTAGATGACTATTTGCTTGCTTGTGCTGGGTTAATGTGAAGTAGCTAGTTTTTAGGATAGGAGACTGTTGAGAGTTGGTTATACGTTATATAATACATGCAATCAGTGCAATTCTACAACATCAGATTTGGGCTAAATCTTATTTTTCTTAAGTTGTACTTTTGTAAAACATTTTTACATTTAAGATCTATTTTTCAGATGCATTTTTAATAAAAATTCTATTACAAAGTTATAGAAAAGAATCTTGGCTTCAGAAGTTTCTAATCCAGCAGTCAGAGGAAAGTGAAGAGGATATGAATGCTTGTTTGGGCTTTTGGAGAGGTTCACTACAGAGATAAGTTGTGTCCAGAAGTTTAAGAGTTCTAGATAATCTGGGAGATAAAAGACCTAGAATTTTTGTTTGGTAAGTCATAGCTTGTCAGCAGTTGGTTGATAGAGAGCTTGAAGTATTGTCTTGCTAGTAACTTAGGAGTATAATATATAATAGTATATATTAGTATAATACTAAAGATTTATTAGTAAGTACATGTAGTACTAATTCAGGGTTTATAGTTGCAATACACTTCTGCAGTGTTGGTACTTTGCAGCTATGGTATATTTGGTATTACCAAAATTTAATGAAGAAAATGTTGCAGTGTTTTCTGTTTCCCGTAGATTGTATTCCAACACAGTATCCTGCTTTTGTTGTTGTTGTTGTTGCTTTCTTTTTTTGTAAAATGCAGGTGCATTGTAATATTTTTCTTGGGGTCAGTTCCTGCTTTCGTCCTAGTAGAACATGGTGCTTTTACTGTCTTTATTTGTTGCTCTTATTTGTGAAGTGTTCCATTTTAAGAATAGTTACAGCTAAAGCTGTGTATATCAGAATACTGGAATAGAGGTTGCTGATGCAGCCTTTACATGTCCATTTTCCTCTGCCACTGTATTCTATGTTAAGTGCATGGATAGCCCTAGCAAAGTAGCAGTTAACACTCTAAGCATCCTCCATCCTACTCCAATAGCCAATAGATATGTGATAGAAATAAAGTATTGCCAAAGCTTACTTATGGTAACTGCCTCAATGACAATACAGTCAATATTATTATCAGGCCCTTATGAATAACTCTAAGTATTCCTGGCATTTAATTTCATGTGAACTAGTATTTGTATTTCAGTAGCAATTCATATCATTGGAACCAAACATTATGTCTCAAGAGCAGCCAAGTTTTCATCATTGTAATGGATGTGAGGTGTTACAGAGAGCTAAAGTTATTAGGTGTTGATATGTTCATGAAACTAGGTCTCTGCCTCATTCTGTTTAACCAAGTTTGGGCAAGCCTAGCTGCCTGCAAAACTGGGCAGTGGTATTTGCATGGCATTGGAACAGTGAGAGGACTCAAAGCAGGTTGTGCTACCACACGCAGTCCTTACCTGGTTGTTCTCCTGCCTTTTAAGAGAGGAAGAGCAGAGCAGAGATCCTCTGTATGGTTTGTGTGGGAATGGGAGAGAGAGACTTGGACTGAGCTGCTTAGCCTGTTATCTTACAGGAAAGGGAGCAGGATTTCCAACTTTGCTACCATCACCTTGAATTGCAAGTGCCACAAAGGCAAGCAATAGAGTTCTGGCCTTTAGTAATATCAGAGCACTGGAAAGATGAGGTTTTGAAATAGAAGAAAGGTTATGCCCTGATTACACCCAAGCACCTTTGAAATCTTAATTGCTTTCTGCCCAACATGCTTAGTGGTTTTGTGGTACTGGGTGATAGCATGATTCTGTGTTGGGTCAGGTATCAACATTGTGAAACTGGTATTACCTACAGTAAACCCTGCTGACAGTTGGGTATTACACAAGATTTGCAGCTATGTAAATGAAAGCAGACAGGATGCCTATGGCTGCGAACTCTGGAATTTAAATTGGTAGTGTCCCACTTCAATTTTACAAGATGGCTAAATATAGATGTGTACCTACATGCACGCACACAGAACTTTAAGTGTTTCACGTGCTATGCAATTGTAGAGAATATGGCTGGAAAGTTCCCGTCCCAGTTTATTCCTGCCCTTTGATTTTTAACTCCAAAAGGTGATAGAGAGGTCTTAGAGCTGGCAGCGTTCCCATCCATTTAGTGACTGTGGAGTACAGTTTGTGTGTGCTGCTCTCTGGTGAGACTGTGCTGTGTTAGGGTTCATCTTCTTACTTACCTCTGGGTAGTGTTCAGCTGAACTGCAGAAATAGCCAATTTTTTTTCCAGTTAACAACTCTGAAATAGTAGAAATAAGCAAAAATATATTTTTTTTTTGCTGTGATGGACCATGTTCAATCAAGACCAGATTTTCAGATGGCCCTTAAACAATGCCTGATCTGTTGTAGTCTGGGAAACACCTCTGTGATTATGAACAAATGAACGGATTCCTTGCAGATAAGCCACTATCTCTTCCACACATCTCAACTTACCTTGTAGAGACTGCGCTTGACAGTAGAAGGTACTGTGTTTATCGTGGGAAGTGCCAAGTGCCCTCAGCTCTTGCAGACGATGCTCAGCCTATCCGTGGAGATCAGTGCTCTTTAAGGTGGAGCACTTCACTAAGATAATGTTAAGCTGAAATTAAAAAGCACAGAGCAGAATTAGCATTACTATCATTTATACGATAGCATCTAGAGACTCAAGCAACTTGTTAGACCACTATCCTGGGGATCATTTTGAAGTAGTCTTACACTATCTGCACACTGTAGCAGTTAATACAGTCCAAATATAAAATATACAAAGAAAGTCCTTCTATTATAAAATGGAGAAATAGACTGCAAAGAAAATAAATCACTTGTATGAAGATCTAAACAGAGGTTTATGGAACAGCTGTTTCCAGTAGAAACCAAGAACACAGAAATAACTCAGTTCTCCTGAGTTCCATACTCTTTCCCTTATTGATATGTCCGGTGTCCCTCAAAAACATCCGAGCCTAAAAATAATTC